CGGCAAGCCCTAGGCTCTGTGGTTTAACCCACAGCACCACCTGTGTCCTCCTAGAAAGGTAGTTTTGCCTTAAATATGCAATTGTTGAGGATTTCATAAACCTACAACTTATCACTCCGAATTAACAGATATTCCATTTTACAGTTTTGCGCTATTCAGGGGGAAATCACCATCAGGGGGATAGTCAGACTGCACAGCATTAGAATCATGGAATTGTAGAATTGGAAGGGGTCAAACGTTTGCAATGCAGGAATCAAGAGGCCTGCCTATTGGTGAGGCTCCACTCACATGCAGGAATTGATTCACGGAGTAGGACCTCTGATAGGCACACAGTTGAGGGATGCTGCTTTTAGCTCTTTTCAGATGTTGCTGGTCTACACTATCATCATCTCTCTCCATTGGCAGTGCCAGATTACGTATAAGGTAAACAAGCTATAGCTTAGGGCCCCACGCTCTTGCCCCCCCCCCCCAAATTATGAGTCTTTGTAAATTGTGTTTCTAAAGGAACTTTTGTTTATTGCCAAATGCCAATGTGTTTGCATTATTAAGTTTGTTATGAATAAAAATATCATTTTAAGTTAGAGCTTAATAATTGATTTCACTATTAATATACTTCTTCTGATTTGTATTTCACTATTAATATACTTCTTCTTAATTGTATTTCAGCTCAACAATTACTTTGATAAAATACATATTTTGTTATGTGCAAATGGCTTAAGTCCATAAATTACCATATAGCATACAGTGGTATCTCGGGTTACATACGCTTCAGGTTACATACGCTTCAGGTTACAGACTCCGCTAACCCAGAAATATTACCTCGGGTTAAGAACTTTGCTTCTGGATGAGAACAGAAATCTGCTTCGCGGCAGCGCGGCAGCAGCAAGAGGCCCCATTAGCTTAAAGTGGTGCTTCAGGTTAAGAACAGTTTCAGGTGAGAATGGACCTCTGGAACGAAATTAAGTACTTAACGCCGAGGTACCACTGTATATTCAGCACAAAAAACAGCGACAAAGGACCCTTCACCTTCACCTTGTTGACAAAAGGCCCTGTTACCTTCAGTAGCTTAGGGGCCTCATCAAACCTAAATCAGCCCTGACTGCTGCAGCTGATGGAAGGTTGGGGGAAGCTGGGTTAAAGTATGAATAGCAAATAGGGAAGAGAACCCTGAAGAGAACTCTGGGAACGCCCTTAGGAGGCATTAAGCTCTTCCAACACTGAAAATGCGACTTTTGGACAGCTGATGTTATGAGATGTTTCAGTTCAGTTTCAGCAAACGTTTTTGACTCCACAGTGAAGGATGTGCATTTGCCAGTTAAACCACTGGCTTCCCACATTACATCTGCTGGTTTGGAGCAGCTCCAAAAAGAAGTGGAGTTGTGACAACTGAGAGAGAGAGAAACTGGAGGATGATCTCTCTTTCCAGCAGCAATCCCTGACGGGTTGCCCGCTGAGACATCAGGGACTCACTGACATTGAAAAACAGCTCAATTGATCTCCCTAGTTGAGCAGTGTTAAGAGCCAGGGTTTAAACATAGCTTCTTGGCATGCCTTCTCTGAAGGCAAAAAGGCACCGAGGGAATAAGGTTTTCATTCACGTCAAGTTTTCTTGGTCAGATAATGCACCAAAGAACTCAACTTTCCCTTTAGGCTTTGCATTTTGTGGGCAACTCCTCCCTCTCCCCATCAAGGGCTGCATTTGCTTGGGGTTATCTGCAATAAGTCACATTTCGGCAGTAGGTAGGCCAGATCTGATGGTGGGTGGATCTAGGGACAAAAGTAAAGGTAAAGGTACCCCTGCCCGTACGGGCCAGTCATGTCCGACTCTAGGGTTGTGCGCCCATCTCACTTAAGAGGCCGGGGGCCAGCGCTGTCCGGAGACACTTCCGGGTCACGTGGCCAGCGTGATGAAGCTGCTCTGGCGAGCCAGCGCAGCACACGGAAACGCCGTTTACCTTCCCGCGCTATAAAGCCGGGTACCTATTTATCTACTTGCACTTTATGGGTGCTTTCGAACTGCTAGGTGGGCAGGAGCTGGACCGCAGACGGGAGCTCACCCCGCCGCGGGGATTCGAACCACCGACCATGCGATCGGCAAGCCCTAGGCGCTGAGGATTTACCCACAGCGCCACCCGTGTCCCTTAGGGACAAAAGTAGCATGGATTAATTCAGAATAAATAACACCCTGCTTTGGTTTTTTCCATGGCTATCTCGGATTAGATTTCCTAATCCTATGCACGTCTATTAAGAAGTAAACCCCGCTGGGTTCCATGGGGTTACTCTCAAAATTTATACAGTGGTACCTCGGGTTAAGAACTTAATTCGTTCTGGAAGTCCGATCTTAACCTGAAACTGTTCTTAACCTGAGGTGCCACTTTAGTTAATGGGGCCTCCCGCTGCTGCCGCACAATTTCTGTTCTCATCCTGAGGTAAAGTTCTTAACCCGAGGTACTACTTCTGGGTTAGCGGAGTCTGTAACCCAAGGTACCACTGTACATATATCAGTACAATAGACAAATACATCTACCGTTTGGGTAGGGAAAGGAATTCCTTTCCAGTTTTAATGTGCCACATAGGCATATAAAAGAAGCCTGCCAGCGTGTTCTTAGACAGCAGGGGAGGATGGACTTCTTTCCCCCAAGTCACACAGCTGAGAATAAGCAATTTATCATAAAAAATACTGCCCCTTCCAATTGTTCTGATACTACATAGAACAAGGATGAAAGAACGTTAGAAAGTCAAGAAAGCTTGTTCCAGTGGGCAGATTAAATAAGTATTTGGAGGATGCCTAAAATGAGGCAATCTGTTGCCCGCCTAAACTCAAAAACAAACTTCACACCAAATGTTCTAGGAGACACTGAAGTGTTTT